CGTCGCGCGCGTTGCCAAAGTCAGATATTGACACCATTAACTAGAGTATCGGCTCGGCCGAGTTCTCCTGAACAACGTGACGCTTAGCCGATGGGGCTCCCCGTTGGAAAGTAGGCCCTTCCTCCCTTCAACGGCGAGAGAATCGCCGATTGCTGAATAGGTGTCTGTCGCGCTGAAGCCGCGCTCGAGAGCAGCGCTCTTTTCGCGACAAGAGATCCCCCAACCGGTCGCTGAACCTCAAGTGCGGCGACGAAGACTGCCAACGGAGACGATCTCCCGCTAATGGGACCGACCACATGCCGACGTTTCGCAATTTGCGGCAGGTCGTTGCGACGACGTTTCATCGAAGAGTTTGGTCGATACCGCGCGCCGTATACCGAGCCATAATTTATTCTCCGAGTTTGCCCAACTCTTTCATCTGCGCCTCCGCTAAGGTCGGATAATTGTCGGTGTAGCGTGTTCGTAACGCGTGCGTTGAAAATCAACTGACGTTCGTCGCATGCTTCGCGTTATCCTAATACCGAGTGGCGCATTATTCAGCGAAAATGTCATAAAATTAAACTGTGTCGAATAGTAATGAGATTCTGTCAACGCGCTTCTTGCAACAGGTATTTCATTTTTTGTTTAATATCCTGCTAGAGGAAACGATGCAGATATCGGGGAACGATTGATGGAGAGATGTGTCGAAACAAATTGAATAAAAATCGCAGTCTTTTTATTCGCATAGAACGCTGATAGAACGAAAGGGGGGTCCGCGAATATAGCACGACGCGTGTGTTTCAGTAATGATCGGGCGTTAGGGCCCGAAGCGGGACGTGGGTAACGAGCAGAACCTTGGCCTCGTACTCGCGTAAGTATTCACGTAACTCCGCGCGAGTGCTCGCGTCGCGTCGCCTGGTTACGAGCCATTAATCTCGAGTGTAATGACTAGCGGCGAAGGATCTGTTTGAACCAAATAAACAATGTGAAGAACTGATCTCAACATCAGATTAGCGCCCCGTCACGCAGATTGCGATTGCATAGCGATTATATCTCCTCTAATGTTATCGTGATTCAATCCTTCAAATTAGTTTTACACGATCGTACGTCAAAATAAGGTGACTTAAGTAACATAATTAATAGAGTTTTCATAGACCGTGGGCGTAAATATTCTATTTCGAAAAATTAGAAAGGTTTTGATTTGAGAAAATAAAGTTACATCTGCGTGATAATCGGGACAACCGCGAAATCCCCTCTGCACCGTCATCATCGTATCCGGAAGTGGCGGACAAACAGCGGATGCCTAATGTCCGTCCGAAACATCGTCCCATTCGAGAATGCTGGCGACACTCCGATTAAAGCCATCGGAGGCGAGTCCTGCCAATTCCGGCGCAATTACACGCCCACGAAACGTCGTTAGCTTCATTGACGCTCATCAATTTCCTAATTGATCGATCGCGATGGCCGATCCTCTTCTCGTGAGCCGATTTTTCTGCTCCGTTTGCTGCGAAGAGGCGAAGCTATACTCTTCTCACGTTGAAGTTCGACGATCCGAGTCTACGGCTCCTCTTTATCGTGACCTCGTATTAAAGTTTGCGTAGCGATAAGTCGATGAATTACGAAGAAACCGTAAAAATCCGCCGTGACTCGCGGAAAGAGCTCCGTGGATCGCTCGCGCGCGATCGTTACTCATCGTCGAGACCTTGTGGATCTATTTGACGTAGATCGGGTCTGATTTATAGCAAATTGCAGCACAAGCCAGACTATTTGAACTACCGAGAGCGTGAAGTTTGTGAAAATTTTTAAAGCAAATAACTTCTTCTCCCGCCTTAATTCTGTCGCTGATTATTGTTACCACTGAAATGGCAAGTGTCATGCAAGCCGCATTTTAGATAGTGATAGAACAGATAGAGAGAGAGAGAGAGAGAGAGAGAGAGAGAGAGAGAGAGAGAGAGAGTGTGTGTGTGTGTGTGTGTGTGTGTGTGTGTGTGTGTGTGTGTGTGTGTTCGTGGATTACAGGTAGAATCGTGCCAAGTACGACACAGATGCAAGACTATCGAACTTCTCCGCGGAGTGTCGATGGTAACAAACGAGAGACGAATACTACATTTTTTCTCACGGTCGCGTCTAATGATTTCCGTATCGCGATTGATTCCGCCGCGCCGGTAGAGAAGAGGGCCACAATTGCGTACAAGAGCAGCGGCGGAGAGCACGGCTAAGCTTAAAGTGGCTTGGTTAAAAAAGCTTCCTAGGTCGTACGGTTCTACGTTACACGCTGGATTTTCTCATCGCGCTCCGGGTATAATGCCCCCCCAGACGTTGAGGCCACCGTACAGTCTTCCTCATAAATCTATGCAAGCGGCGTAATGATACTTCTTACTCAGTTCCCATGCGCGGCCGTGCATTCGGATCTCTTCGATAATTAATGCTGACAGACGCGCATATATACTCCACGCAATATTTTATAATGCGTTTCGGCTCTGCGAGCAAGAGTCCGTATCGCAAATAGATGCAATTGACATAATGCACAATCAGAAAGGTGTTCGTTTGTGTACTTGAATGGATATATGTATGTATACATTACGCAGACTTGCATATACATACATACAATTCTGGAATCAAGTGTAGGTATAACAAGTCCGTTCTATGTCATATTTTCCCTTATCTCTTATCAATAAAAATGTATTT